ATATCCCCAATAAAAAAAAAAAAAAAAAAAAAAAAAAAACTATTTAAAAAAAAAGGAATTGTACATTCATTTAGAACTTCCTTTTCTCTATCTCTGCTTTATATAAATTAAATAACTGTACTAAGTTCTTCATTTTAATACTGTTTATTTTGGGGACCAGCAGATGGTGTAATGGTTACATCACTGGACTCCCACATAGTCAGCTGCAGTTCAAGTCCTGGACCCAGCAGCTTAAAACTCATGCCGGACACGTATGCTTGTGTGCCCAAAATCCCAAAAGGAGAATGAGGAGAAGGGATTGTGGCTTTGGCCATCCCCTCTGGGTGGTGATTTCTCACTTTCTGTCTTTCTGTATCTCTCTTTTTTCTGGTGAGTGCAAACACCCTATAGCAAAACTTTCTCTAGAAAAAAAAAATACTATTTATTTTGCATCTCTCCTAGTAGAAGAAAAGCCAGATGAGGGACTGACCGCAGTGCTACAGCATGCTGCTTCATGATGTTGGAGCCACACAGAAGATCAAGTTCGCTTCCCAGGTTGGTCTGTACACTGTGGGCGCATGAATACAAACCCACGATCCCGATTGCCTGGGAAGGCTGAGGAAGGACCAAGGCGCAAGAGCCTATTGAGGGAATCTTTCTCTCTCGTGTGTAAGAAATAAACAAACTTAAAAGAAAAGACAATTTAGGAGGACATACCAGTTTATCATTGTTAAGTTTTATGACTTAAAGCAAGGCTTAGCACACAGAAGGATTTCCATAATTATTCATTAAATGAATGACTGAAGTGGTCCAAACGATTAAGTCAATTCAGAAAACGGGGTGTCAAAGAGAAGAGAGATAGTTTCAAAGAGAAACCTGGGGGGCAAGCTGATGGTGTAGTGGTTACATCGCTGGACTCCCACATGGCTGATCGTGGTTTGAGTCGCAGGTTCGATGGCTTGAAGATGACGTCAGGCCCATGTGTATGTGTGCCTAAGATCCCAGAAGGAGAATGGAGGAAACGGGATTGTGGAATGGCCATCCTCCCCAGGGGTGAGTTCTCACTTTCGTCACTATCTCTCTCTCTCTGGTGAGTGCATGTATCCTAAGGGGGAGGGGACTTCATAAAAAAAACTTCAAAAAAAATGAGAGAGAGAGGAACCTGGATGGTCTGGGAGAATTCATTTTCAGGTGGAGGACATGGTGGATACCTGTTACCTGAAGTGAGTCCCTTCCTGTGAAATCTCCCCCTGGTCCCCTGGTTTTTGCATTGTGAAACCCCGTTTCCCATGGTTCTACGTGGTTCAGGTAGACCATAGTTTCTCAACCTCATTGTTGGATGAGACGATTGTTGCTGGGGACTGGCCTGTGCACTACTCTCCTCTATAGTCCTAACAACCAAACAGATCCGGACACTGCCAGACGTCCTCTGGTCCCAAACTGCCCCACTGGAGAACTGCTGAGGTGGATCAGTCATACCCCAGCTGCAAGAAAGGGCAGGCAATTTGGTCCTTGTTTTCTGCTTATTTCATTGCCTGGCCCTAGTCATGGGTTCATTCTAGGGCATGTGACCCTGTTTAGGCAAATCAGAGCTCCTAAAGGGACTTTTGAGGAAGTCGCTGGACAAGAGGAACTCTTTGTTCTGAAGTGCTAAGCTACAGGAGGTGGACTTGGTGTTGTTAGCTAATATTTTGCTAGTTTTCAGGGAGTGCCTCACCACAAAGAAGCCAGTAAGGAAGAGCAGAATCAGGAGACAGAATGGATTCCTGAGGACATGATTAGACTACGTAATTCTTAATTCTTGTTTTCAGAGAAGCCAACTACACCCTTGGCCTTTCTGTCATGTGATGTAATATGGTTGGTTTTGGTCTAAGCTAGTGTGAGATGGTTTTCTGTCACTTGCGTCCGAATGGATGCTGGCTTGCGATTAAGTGAAAGAAGGAACCAGTGGAAGGAGAGAGAATAACTGATGGAACCATGTCCTGGGAGAGACAGAAATGGATGAGACAAGAAGGATATGGTCTGTGAAGGTGGAGGTGGAAATGAGGGTAAGGGGGAGTGGGTGTAGACAAGCTTGGAGCTGGAGAGAGAAGAGATGAGAGAATTACCCCTTCATGTTTGCATCATTTACTAAGAGAGAAGAGAAGGAGGAAGGCAGGACACAGTAGATGGTCGGAGGTGAGTGAATGGATAATGTGACAAAATGAAAATGGTGCCCACTGTGAATGAGTAAAAGATGCTGAACAGTACCCCTCTTCCGAGCACACAAAGGGACTTCAAAAAGTTCATGGAAATGGAACTTAAGTATGAGTTTATTTTGGTACAAAAAATTTGAAATCCATGCATAGTTTCCTTGACCATATGCATTTCCATGAACTTCTAGAAAACCTCTTGCATATGCAGAATAATTGAAAGCTATGTCTGAAGTGACAGGTTGCATATCCATATTCAAAGCAGCATGGTTCACAATACCAGGAAGTGGAAACAAACCAGGTGTCCATCCACAGATGAATGGATAAACCAAGTGTGGTATGTACGTACAATAAAATAGTATTCAGCCTTTAAAAGGGAGATCCTGTCGACAACCTTGAGAACATGCTTCTAAGTGAAATAAGCCAGTCATAACGAACACCTTATACTCACTTATGTGAGTATCTAACATAATCATTTTTATATGAACGGAAAATACAGTGGTGGTTTCCAGGGACCAGGAGGACGGAGAAGTGCAGAATCGTAAAATTGATAAGAGTTTAAGTTTTACAAGATAAAAACGTTCTGGAAATCTGTTTCACACCAGTGTGATTGTACTAATGCTACTGAACTATATACTTAAATTTATTTTGCTTTGTTTGTTTTAGAGGGATTTTTGCTATAGAATACATGTGCTTACTGGAGAGACAAAGAAAGGCAGAGAGACAGAAAGTGAGAAACCCCCTCCCTCCATTGGGGATAACCATGCTGCAATCCCTTCTCCTCCATTTTCTTCTCAGGATTTGGGGCATGCACCCACACATACCCAGTATGAGTTATAAGCTGCAGGTCTGGGACTCAAACCATGGTTAACTATGTGGGAGTCCAGCGACATAACCATTATGCCATTTGCTGGTCCCAACACACTTAAAAGTTGTTAAGATGGTAAACTTTATGCTCTGTGTTTTTTTGTTTGTTTGTTTGTTTTTTTGTCACAATTGAAAAAGAAAGTGCTGGACAACATCTCTGGTCTAAGAGATGGTGGGGACAATAAATTTGTGGTCACCAGTGAGCAAAGTCTTATTATATCAATAGTTAAAATATTGGAATAGAGAAAATTAACAGCTAGATCTAGAGTGTGGTAGGAGAGGACGAGTGGGCCTGGAGAATTTGTTGGCTGAACAAATGAGAGGCAAAATCTTAAAGGTGAGAAATTAAACTTGTGGTTAAGAGTTTGGCTAAAATTACCAAGTGGTGAGATACAGAACAAATGAACTCAAAAAACCTCAAGACTATATTACTCAAGAGTATATTGACTCCAGGGACCAGCAGTTAGCGTAACGGCTATGTCGCTGGACTCCCACATAGTCGACCACGGTTTGCATCCTAGACCCGGTGGCT